GCGACCTCTTTGGCCATCTTGCAGACTGTCTGGACGAACTTTGGGCACGGCTTTGCCGTCGCTCAAAAATGTCCAGGGAGAAGAAGGCAAACAAGCCAATGGAGCTCTACTCCAGGATCACCGCAGGTCTGGTAAAGCTCCAGGCTCGATATAGCCTTCGAGAAGCAGTCGGCGACATTAAAAAAGGTGTCGCCAATGTGGCCAGCAACATAGAAGAGATTGGTTGGGGACAATCTGCCTCCGAACATAATATTATGGAGGCGATTGTTCAAGTCAGCGAGGATATTGAGGAGTATCACTCTCGTAGCCTCGCTGACCTGAAAGCAATCCGGAAGGACGTAGACGAGGCGCGTGCGGCGATCGAGGAGGTTCATAACGAGGCCTTCCGGTCGCTTCACGCGCTTCACAAGAGCATGGGGACGTCAATGCGTGCTATCGCCGACGTCTTTGTGGTGAGATCAGAGGGAGCTGCGTGCTCCACTCCGGTCAGGGAAGAGAGTCAAATTCCCTCTTCCTGGCTGGAGGAGATAAAGCGAGTTGTTCGGAGCACTGTCTCGGAGGAGTTCCAAAGACTCTTGGAACGAGGTCACCCGAGACAGGTGGTTCCGACTCCTTCGTCTGCTCCAACTAGGGTGCAGACGAAGGAAAAGAAGAAGAAGAAAAAAAAAAGAAGAAAAAGGAGTTGGCGGCGGCTAAGAGGGAAAAGGGATTGGCCGTTAGGGCCGGCCGGAGGGAATCTTCCTCTCCTCAACCCCCCCTTGTCTTGTCAGCGACCTCCACGCGCGGTCTTTCCGAGGACAGAGGCGGTCACCTTGCGTCTCGCGGAAGAGGGCATGTCATATGCCCAAGTTTTTCGAGACGCAAGGAGTAAGGTAGATCCAAAGTCAGCGGGTGTTTCTAAGGTCCGCCGACCCTTGGAGGGGCACCTGTTATTGGAAGTGGAGGAGAGGACCGCAAATCTAGAGCGGACCTCCTCGCCTCCAGGCTTAGAGAGGCCCTCCCTGGGGGAGTGTAGGTGGCTCGTCCATCCTGAAACGTGGAGATTATGGTTTTGGGGTTGGACAAATTCACCTCTGAGGAAGATGTCCGAAAAGACTTTGTATTAGAGTTTGGCGGCGGGCGTGGCGTTAGGGTAGTATCCCTGCGTCGCTCCCTGTCCGCGGGTAGAGCCGCCTTGGTTCGCTGCCTAGGTGAGGCGCCGGCCAAGGCAGTTAAAGAAGGGAAGTTTCCGGTGGGCTAGGTGATGGCAAGGGTGCGTGCACTCCGGCCTTGCCCCCGGCAGTGCTACAGGTGTTTTCAGCCTGGGCACTGCAGAGCTCTGTGCTCCAGCCAGGTCGACCGCAGCGATTTGTGTTATTGTTGTGGTCGGCCGGGGCACAGAGCGGCCGGCTGCAATAAGAAGGAGGAGTGTCCCCTTTGCGAGGAGGCGGGCCAGGAGTCCTCTTATTGAATGGGTGGGGTCCGGTGCTCGGCCATCGGTCGGGGGGCTGCCATGCCCGTGTTAAACCCCCAATGATGAATTTATGGAGAATTCAGCCCTTTCCGGTTTTGATGGGTTCCCACAAGGACCCGAGGAGCCGCTCCTCCGTATATCTGGTGCACTAGGCACCAGATATAAAAAAGGTTACGCCTGGTCTCTTTTTTAGAGTCTGTACTAGTTGGAGGCCCGGTCCCCGTTATTCTACTCCCTAGTTGGGGCTTAGTTTGGGCGGTGTGTGGGGGGAGGACCATAGGTGCGGCTATGGTCAATTGCAGGGTTGGGTCCACCTTAAGGTGTTTGACCCAGGGCCGCACAAGGGGGGTGGCGGTTACCATCGTCTTCCTCCTCATTGCACGCGGTCCAGCGGTGACGGAGCAGGGCTGTGTTCCGCTCCGTCACGGGGGGCATAAAATTTCCTCAACAGTAAAGCGGAGCAAACGCCTTTGCTTACCGAACTGTCCCGGATTGTTCTCACGAGGTGCCGGGGCAGTCCTAAAAGGGCGGCAGGTGAACACCGCAGAAGTGTTAGTAAGTATTCCCTTCTTGAAGGACGAGTCTCACACTACCCTGGCACTACACTCTCTTAGTCTGGGTCAAGGTGTGCGTAAATGCATTTCCCCTGCGCAAACAAAAAAAAGGTTAAGTTCCCGGTTGACTTTCCTCTATCTTGTCGTGGTGTCCGAGCTTAGGGAGGCGTTGATCCGAGCGGCTACGCTGGCGGGGACTCTTTGAGCCCCTGGCACAGTCACCCATGCCATACAGGCTCTTTGGGGAGCTCCTAAACTAAGAGGGAAAATAAAGGAAATAACATCTTAAACAAAAACCGGGAGTTCTCAGCTCCGCTTAGCCCTTTATGCCGGGACAACTGGGATAAAAAAGAAAAACCACGACTTCAAATCCGGAAACGTTCGATCCCGTCAGCCACGGTACAATCAGACTAGGAGAGAAAACCCTGATTTCAAATCCGGGGTGTCCGGCCTCGTTAATCGCTCTAGACAACCGGACTAGGGGAAGGAAAACCCTGAGGAAAAAACCCGGGTAGGCCGGGCTTGTCAGACTTGGACATCAACCGACCTAGGAGAAGCAACTCCGAAATGAAACCAACCTTTAATCGCCATGGAGATGTGTTGTGAAATTTAGTTTAATTTTGTTCGGGCCATTGAGCAATTGCGGAAGGTACGCATCATTCCTCAATCGACCCGAATTTGTTTGAAAAGGCGACAAGCAGCAGTTCCTGGTAAATGGAATCTGCTTGTTGAGCGTAGAGTTAAGACGCGGCACGCAACGTCAGCGGTAACAGTTAGATTGCTAAATTGCTGAGTGGTCGCGATCGATCCCTTTAAAAGATCGATCGCAAGCAACGACAAACAGATCGTGAGTAGCTGTTGACAATACTGTGTGGCTCCGAGTCCATCCGGAGAGTTTACCGCAGTAAAGCAACAGCTAAGTGCCAGTGTAAAGCGTGCGTTAATTGTATAGTAAATAGTAATAAACTACACCAGTTTTTATTACAAGAATCTTATTCTTCACCAAGTCCTTCATCTTCCCCGATTACAACAGATGGAAGACAAAAGGATGCGTTGTTTGGTCCTCCCGGACCAGGGAGGTCGGATTCCCAGATCCCGGCACGAGGCTGGTATCGTCCCGGCCAGCCTCGGATCGTCATCCGACAACGGGCTCTGCATTGCTTGCCCTGCAGAGGCGGCGCAGAATAATGCGTCTGCGACAATTGGCGTAACCACGCCACGAGAGCTGAAGGAGAGCTCTTCCGATGACGACGATTTTGACCCCGCCCGGCGTCGCCGAGTCATCGCAGCAGCGGTAGGGGATCCCGGGCCTGTCGCCCGTGCGGCAAACTCTGGGACTCCGATGAGGAGTCAGAGACGGAAGATGGAAAACACCTTTCCACTACCGTCCAAAGCTAACCGGAGACCACTGCTCCAAGTGGTCGACTTGGAGCTGCCCTACCTGGACCACTCTTCACCCCACTGCCACAAGACGACGACTCCATTTCGGAGTTAAAGGTCGTCTCTCAACGTCTGGTGGGCACTTCCATCAAAGAGGTGAAAGCTGCTGTCTCCCAGCCTCTGCAAGTGCAGAGGTCCAACAGCCAGGGAGACAGAAAAAGGGGCGGGCTGGCTGAGGACCGACAGCCTTCGGTACCAGCCAAAAAAGGGAAGGAGGCATTTAGTGCTCCCCGGAAGCCTTCAACTTCGAAGAAGAAGGGAAAGCCTTTCTCTCCGGGGGCCAAAGTTGGCCTCCGTGCTCTCCGCAGGGAGCTGGAGAAAGCTACCCACCGAGAAATAGAAGCGCAGGCCGAGAGTGAGCTGGAGGACAACCCTAATCCTGGTCGCATGACAACTCGCTTGTCTGGTCCTGCGACTTCTCCCCCAAGACAGTGGGGTAAACGAGGAGACGCCTCAAGCCTGATATGCATCACTGGGAACATGCCAACGTCCCAAATGGTCGAAAAGGCTGCTATGATGGCAGCCGCCATTCATAAGATGGCGGTGACTTTGAAACACTTACAGGGCACATATATCCGTACGCTTGAAGGAAGCGGCATCCGGGCTTGAGAAGGCGGTTGGCCTTCTGGCCAACAGAATAGACGGCGGGGAGGAAACCCGGCGCCTCGGCACACTTAACACCAAGTTAAGCAAAGAGATGTCGCGGCTCCGTGAAGCACTCTCCAAAACCAACGGAGACAAGGAGGTCGCCGAAAGGAGAATAGGCTGTACTCAGCGAGAGAACCGGCGCCTTCAGGGCGAGATAGAAGCTCTCCACGAGGAGCTCCTAGACGTGAAAGGAGAGCTCCAGACTCTGAAGGCGGCCGAACGGAGGGGAGCAAAAGATTCAAGGAATCGGACATCCCGTCACGGTTCCTTCCACCTCAACCGCCCTTTCCCGGAGTGCGGGGACCCGAGCGCTGGCGGAGCCGTGTCCCCCCTTGACACTAAAAGGGCCCCACGATGGGGTCACGCTCTCGCTGCACAGCGGAGGCGCCGACCGGTACGACCGGATGGAGACGGACGCCGCCGCCTCCGACGGTCCTGTTTTCCCGTCAGCGGAGAAGCCCCGCGACATTAAATTCCTGCTTGCGGGTTTCCGTCGCGAGATTCTGGGGGAGATAACGGACGCTATAAGGAGCCAGCTCACCACTTTTTGGGAGCAGCTCCGCCACTAGTCGTCCCGCTCGACGCTCACTCCTGGAGTTACTAGGGTGGGAGAGATGTTCGAGAGAGCCTCTGCTACGAGAGGTCCGTCCAAAAGCCGAGGCCAACACCTGGAAGCACAATTGAGGGTGACCGAGAACACCTTCCTTACTCCCGCAGCGAGGAACAAAGCTCCCTCGAATAAAGGGAAGAAGACTGGGAGGAAAAAGAAGAAAAAGACGAAGGGACAGGGTGGCCATAAGAGCCAGCAGCCATCCACGTCTGATACAGCTCCCGGCCTTTCCCCACCGATCTAGACGTGGTCCCAGGTGGTGGGGAGGAATAAGAGAAAGGCGGATCAAGGGTCGATGACCCAAAAGTCGTTAGCCTTTGCTTCCATGCCGGGACGCGGAGGAAAGGCTGCCGCTGCAAAACGCCCGACCGCAGTCCGGCAGCAGCTGCAGCAAGCGTTGCCGCGGCGCCCAACAGTGAGCAAGCCACCGAAGTTGGCGGCGGTAACGCTTTCGATTCCTACGAGGCCGAAGACCAGCCTCTGCGATGCGATGGCAGAGGCTAAACGCAAAATTAGGCTGGACGACCTTGGTATTACCAAAGTCAAGCCAAAGAGGGCAATCACCGGGGAACTGATTATCGAGATCTTCGGTGAAAACAGCGAGGAAAGAGCGGACAAGCTGTGCAACGCGATGAAAGCTGCTCTTTCCCACACAGACGTTCGAGTCGCAAGGCCCACGAAAACTTGCGAAATAAGAATTCGGGGCCTCGACGACTCAGTCACACCGGAGGAGGTCGCGGAGACTATAGCGTCCGCTGGAGGATGTCGGCCGAATGCAGTTTCGGCAGGCCCAACACGTACATCCTCCAGCGGACTAAACTCCGTATGGGTGCAATGTCCCGTCAGTGCGGCCAAGAAGGTCGCTGACGTGGGCACTCTTCGAGTGGAATGAGTGAAAGCGGCCGTCGATGTGCTTGAGCGACGGCCGCTTCACTGCCACCAATGCTTACGACGCGACCACCTGCTCAACCAGTGCACATACACTGTTCCGGAGGAAGAGAGACGCGGCCGCTGTTACCGTTGCGGCGGTCGCGATCACCAAGCGCGGGGCTGCCAAAATATCCGCTGTGCACCGACTTAGGACGCCCAGCGGACCATCGTTTTGGCAGCAAAGCTTGCGCACCTCATCTCCGAAAAGGAAAGAGAGGTGCAAAAGCGGTCGCCAGGAGCGAGGCTCTATCTGCTCACGAGCCTAATCCCGCCGCCGGTTCGAACACCCCGGCGACAGAAGGAGGGGAGATCAGCTGATCTCCTCCTACCCAGAGTGGTGCTCTGACGGAGGAGATGGAGGGGGTTAAACAGCTGAACGAAACAGTTGCAGCATAATGGCCCCCTTACTTCTCCTGCAGTGCAACTTAAACCACGCCCGCGAGGCCCAAGACCTCATGGTCATTCAAAGCCTCGCGGACATGGATGGAACGCTAACTGTCGCGACTGAGCCCTACTCGGTTCCCGATCATTCGTCATGGGTCGGATCCGAGGACGGCACTATCGCGACGTATATACAATACGGAGGCAAGGATTCCTATGTCTTCTCCGTGCTGGAGAAGGGCAGAGGAGTCGTAGCCGTCGAATGGGGGGAACCATCGTTGTGGGGACGTATATCTCGCTCAACAAACCTCTCCTTGACTTCAAAGAGTACGTGGACGGGGTCTGCCGAATTGTTCGCAACTATCTGCCCCGTCCATTGATCGTCCTGGGAGACTTCAACGCTAAGTCAACGGCTTGGGGGTTCTCCAGGACGGATGCAAGGGGAGAAGTGTTAGAGGAGTGCATGGCGGCTTGCGGGCTCTTTGTGGTCAATCAGAGCCCGCACCACACGTGCGTTCGCCGGGCCGGGGGGTCAGTCATCGACGTGGCCTTTGTGTCCCTAGCCGCTAGACGCTGTGTGTCCGAACGGCAGGTCAGGGTAGACATGGAGACCCTCTCAGATTATCGGTATGTTACAATGAGGGTCTCCGTGCTCCCTGACCGCCCTCGAGGTCGCCAGTGAGCGAGAAGTCTCCCGTCCCAAGAATGGGTTCTTAGAGAACTGAACCCAGATATCCTGTCCGCCGCCGCTCAAGTTGCGGCTTGGCCGTCTCCACCGGCCGAGCCGCGGAAGCTCCAAACGGAGGTCCGCTAGTTCCGGGAAGCGTGCGTCGCCATATGCGACACGTGTATGCCACGCTCCCGGGGACCTCCGAAGCGGAGGTCGGTGTATTGGTGGACGGATGAAATTGCTGACCTTCGAGTCGATTGCATTCGGTCCCGAAACCGGTGACGTAGCAGCACAAGCAGCGGAGGCGTACGAAAGGTACCGCGCAGAATGCAACAAGACCTTTCGTATAGCCATTAGAAAGGCAAAATCCCAGGGTTGGGACAAGCTCCAGGAAACTCTCGACAACGATCCGTGGGGGCGCCCGTACAGGATTGTGCTCAACAAGCTCAGACCCTGGACGCCCCCGATCACCGAGAGTCTCGACTCCCGGCTGCTCGAGAGGGTTGTCTCCATCCAGTTCCCTGACGGGAGGGGCGATTGGCTCTCTCGAGAACCAGAGCCGGACCACAACGTGGAGTGGTTTGACGAGCTGGGAGTGACGGACAGGGCCCTCTGGGAGACCGTCTCAGGCACTTGTTCTCAAAATGCCTGAGAACAGGATGGTTTCCCTCCGAATGGAAAACCGCTAAACTGGTCCTCCTGCGCAAGGGAGGACGGCCCGCGGACTCGCCGTCCGCGTACCGGCCGATCTGTCTATTGGACGAGGCGGGCAAACTCTTGGAGAGAGTTGTCGCCGCCCGCCTCACACAACACCTGTCTCGGGTGGGTCCCGATCTGGCCGACTGTCAATTCGGCTTCCATGAGGGACGCTTGACGGTGGACGCCTTGTTTCGCCTCAAGTCTCTCACGGAGAAGTCGGTCAGACAGAGAAGGAGGGCGTTGGCTGTCTCGCTAAACATCTCGAACGCCTTTAATTCCCTTCCCTAAGACAGTATAGGATGGGCACTCCAACATTACAAGGTCCCACCCTATCTCAGAAAAGTCCTTGGAGACTACTTCCGTGACAGAAAAATTGAGTACGTTGGCCGGTACCGGTCACCACATAATCGAAAAATATGCCGCGGGGTTTCACAGGGGTCAGTGCTGGGCCCCTTGCTGTGGAATCTCGGATACAACGTGGTGATCGGGGTTATTCTTCCCCGGGGCCTGAGTGTCATCTGTTACGCACTCTCGTGTTGGCTACCGGGGAAACCTGGCAGGAGGCCAAGATACGGGCCGAGGCTGGCACTAGATGCGTTGTTGGCCGTATAAAGAGGCTGGGTCTCAAGTTGGCTGTTCATAAAACGGAGGCCATGTGGTTTCATGTCCCCCGCGTGCAGCCTCCAGAAGAGTACTCCAGTCTCCAGATAAGTGAGGCCCGGGTCGAGATGAAAAGCACTTTAAAGTACTTGGGACTCCACCTCGACCCGCGATGGCGTTTCGGCGAGCACTTTACCCGCCTGGCTCCCAAGATTTGCAACACTGCAAACGCATTGGCACGCTTTATGCCAAATCTTGGGAGCCCGAAAGAGAAAGCCCGTCGTCTGTATGTCAACGTGGTGCACGCGGTTGCCCTGTATGGGTCGCCGCTGTGGGCTGAGGCCGCGGTGAGGGCCGGGGTGCGGAGTTGCTCCGTTCAGCTCCGCACAAAGAACGGTGGCCCTCCGTGTCATACGCGGCTTCAGGGACGTGGCCACGGAAACGGCGGGCCTTTTGGCGGAAGTGCCTCCGCTGGCCCTTCTCGGGCAGATGTATTTGGCTCGGTATCACAGCCGAGTCGAGCTGCTGCGAGGAGACCTGGAAGACGATTTCCTTGCGGAGGCACTAGCTCGGTCAGAACGTCAGACCCGAGACCGGCTGCGCCGTGAGTGGGCGCAGCTCTTGGACGAGCCATGGGTGGCCGTCCAGCGGATCGTTGCTGCCGTCCGGCCTTTCTTTGATCACTGGCTGGATGGTTGCTCGGGTCGCCTCACTTATCGCGCGACGCAGGTGCTCACCGGACACTGGTGTTTTGGGGAGTATCTGTGTCGCATCGGGAGAAAGCCAACGACGCAGTGCCACGAGTGCGGAGCGGCCAACGACTCGGCGCGACACACCCTCCGCGGTAACATCGACCCACCCGGGGGACCTACTTTCTCCCCGGGTAAATACCGAGGAGCCGAAAATGGGGCAGTGAGGGAAATCGCGTCTTCTCGTTAGCTCACTGTCCCAGGGAGGGTAAACAAAGGCGGTGAAAGGGACGGGGATCTGTACTCGGTGAGTTACCGGACTCACCGGGCTTGTAAACTCCGCAAATGCCGCCGCAATAATACATTTATCGTGGCGGAGAGGAAAGTTTCCCCTTTCTTTCTTGGCCCGGTTTTCCTTTTTCCTCTGGTAGGAGGGAACCGGCCGAGCGGGAGCAGCGGGTGTTGGAAGAGTCGGGTCCTTCGTTAGCCCATCGCCCTCACAGTTTTTGAGCTTAGACCGATGGTTTCCGGGGAAGTAACGTCTTCTCCGGGTTAGGGTAGGTTGGGTTGGGTTTGTGCGCGCGCGCATGCGCGTGCATACACGTGGCCACCGAGCTGTCCGCGACGGGTTGAAATCCGGGGATTTCAACCTGTCTTTGCACGCGGTCGCGAGAAGGCGTGACAGGATGTTGGTGAGCCACATCCTGTCACGGATCTACCATCATTTCGGGGAGAGAGATGACTCTCCTCGCGAGGTGTCTGGTTGACGGGAGAGGAGGCCCCGGTATAGTCCCCTGGGGTTTCGGGACCTCTTCACCAATCACGTCGAGTAGGCTCACCATGGGGTTTTAGTAGGTAAACTTTTTTCTTCTTGCGGGAAGAGAAAGGAGTCCCACCTGGGATACCTCTGGGTCCCAGGACCGGGGTATCCATAAAGGATTTCCCCACGTACAAAAAAAAAGGTTAGGTTGTGACCGGATTTTCAAACACTTTTTATTAAACTAATAAATATTACTTTTTATTAAAGTACTTACTTTTTCAGGTTTCACGGTCGCCAGGTAATTGTTTACGGACGATAGAGTACCACTCGTCTATCTTTCACAGTCTCCATCTCTTTATTTCTCCTTATCTCTTTTCAGGAAGGACAAGATTACGGACCGGGTAAGTATATATCGTTTTACACTCAAGTACGTATCAAACGACAGTAAATATATATATTTGTTCAATAAAATAACTTTTACACGCATGATCGATATCACGCTTTGTTGAGCAAGTCGACAAAACTATTTTTTTACTCGCGATTACTCTAAGACGCACCGCCTGTTTATCGCGATAGTTCCGTGCAACGGTCCGACTCTAACTTAGGGCGACGTCCCATTGAGCAGAAAGCCATAGCGGAACGGAATGCGCGGAATCAGCGCGACTAATCATAGCCATTCCGTCCTTTTCGCGTTGTTCTGTTTAATTTTACCGCTGTAATTCGCGGAATAAACAAAGATAACCTCGATATGCGAATAGTATCTAGTGTGTCCACTATCTTCATATAATATATATCGGTTATGTAGAGTTTTCTGCATAAATAATTTTACTAATTATGAGCGGAAACTCCGTAAGTATTAAACAACATGTTAATAAGTTGTTAATAATATATAGATATTACTATAAACATTAATCTAGAATATATGAATATGTGTATAGAAAATGAAATGCGGCTATTGCGGCTGGATAATAGTAGGCTTCAATATTGAACAGCACAAATGTTTCGAAAAGTATAAGGAAGACATACATTTGTTACATANTGATGAAAATCATGTAGCAAGAATAAGTATGTGTGTGATTATTTTTTACTATAATTATGGTTTATTTTATTTATTATAATTGTAATAAAAATCTTTTTTATATTGCAGTTCCACGATATGGTCACAAAAATTTAGAAATAAATACAGCAGATGTAGTAGTTCCTGTTGAAACAAAATCAGATGATACTGATGAAACTCTTATTGAGCTGGTGTTTGAGAGACCTGCTCTTTGGAACCACAAATTACCATTACAAGATCGGACAAATTTGAAAAAAGATGCACTTTGGTTGGAGGTGTCAAATAGGATGGGAGGAGGTGATTTAGTAATAGTATTTTATGCATCTCAAATCTACATAAAACACACAGATATACATCCAGTGTGTTCAAACTATCTATAAGAGATCTNGAGGATGTTTTTGGGACATTCTCTAGATGTCTTATATGTATTTTAGACAAGGTTGGGTAAGTTAAATTTTTTTTTTATTTAAGGTNAGTTACAGTTAAAGGTCTTAAAAATTATATTTAGTTAAGATATAAGTTAATCCATAATAAATTTAATTGATTAAAAGTTAAGTTAATAAAAAAAATAATTAACAAGTTAAAAGTTAAATTTTTTTTCATGATTTTAGTGTTTTAGTCTTACAAATAATTACAAACATTTCCAGTGTTTTAATCTTACATATAATGGAAAAAATGCTATATTTCACGTCACGTGTACTATAGTTTTTGGTAACCAAAGTAGGATTTTGGAACATACCCCTGCTGTTGTCAGCTGTTGTGCGCATCCCCTTTTTTGCTGCAGCATGCTATGAACATTCCGTTTTTTTGCATATGCGAACATGATCTATATACTATACGTAATGTTTACTGTGGACAAATGCGCGTATATGAAACGGAACGCATCTTATAAACGTCTTACAATCGTAAACACTGACGATTACGTGAATTGCGTTGGATTTTACGACCAGCGTTTATTGGCTCAATTCTCGAACACGTACAAATTTATTCGCATATAAAACGAAT